GCTTGAATTAAAGGTGATAGGCTCTTCGGGGTGGACATGGGCAGTATTCAGCATCCTTACCGGGCTTGCCAATTGTACCATAGTGTCCTTGTGGTCCTGGTTTTCCCTGATATCCTTGTTCTCCTTTTGGACCAGCAGGACCTTCTATTCCATCATCACCAGATATTCCATCTGCTCCATCTGTTCCCGGTAAGCCATTGGGACCAATGGAGCCATCTAATCCTTTGCCGCCCCGTAGTCCCATCCGTCCGACTACACCATTTTCACCAGCCAGCCCCGCAATTCCGGCTCGGCCTGGTTGACCAACAAAACCAGATGGACCGGTGGCTCCCCGAAGACCTCCCGGACCATCGGGACCCGGTTTGCCAGCTCGACCCTGATCACCTTTCTGCCCCTAAATCGAACAAACGCAATTACGGTAATTCAGCGCATAAATACTACCTGAATTCCTTGAAATCCTGGAAGCCCATCTTTTCCCGGCGCTCCCATTGGACAGTACCTGCATTTGCTTGCAAGATTAATGTGGACAGGTGGATAAATGCCCGCCAAGCCGTCTGGACCAACCAATCCATCAATTCCTGACTCTCTATATAAAATTTTTAAGGTTCAACAACTGTTTGTTATATTTTGCGGAATTTCGTACCCATTGTCTCCAGGCTCTCCCGGCATCCCCGGTTCTCCTCGTGGACACTTGTTGTCCACGTCGCATTCTAAGTATGACACGAAATCAGTAAAAAACAAAACTTTCGAATACAAGTATTTTACGGCAGTTCGGAGGCGGTTCGGCTTGTCTCGGTTTTCTCCTCAGTGGCTGTGGCTCTGTTTTTCGAAACTCACTGTCGAATTTGCCCCAGACCTCAGCGGACAAAACCTAAGAACGCAAGTATGAGTGATTGTGAAAAAACAAACGCAATCGGTTCATATATATTAGATGGGTGAGGATGTCGAAGACAGAATCATAATTCACTAGATGCAAGTAATGCCCTGAGATCAAGTCTCATTTTTCTGTATAAATATGCCTGCGAATCGGGCATCTTTGCAGGTGTCTGAGCAGGTCTTTGTCCAGCCCTGCTTAGAGAGACGGCTTTACATCCATGCACCGCAGGTGCTGAAATGCCATGCGGTCGTGGCCTGATTAGATGGTCCCCTAAGCCACTAGAATCAATGGGACGTGCTTACGCCGCTTCAGACCAGTATCAAAATCTGAAAAGGTTATAATATATATGTTAACGGCGAAATCCAGTTGGTGCAGGAGATTAATTATTCACAGAATCTATCAGGTTCGGCCAATGATCCTATGGAATGGTGAACATCGGTGAGGACATACGCAACATAGCCAAAAGGGTGAGGGTGAGTTTTTCCCAGCACTTACGTTGAACTCGTCCGCATGAACTCGAATGCTTTGCTGGCCATCGCTGATGAAACGCATTAGCATAGGCACGAAGAACAGACAACAGAAAACGACGCCACAGCTTAAGGAAATCGCCACGGTTCCGGCGGCTTTGGCGAGCATTTCGCAGAATCAGACTACGACCGGGATTCGGATTCGGATTCTGAACAATCACTGCAATGCTAGTGGTCGGACGGCGTTGTTCCCGAACTTTTCTACGATCAGTTTCGCCTGCGGGAGGGGAGGGGTACGTTTGCTCCCATTCGGTCACAGCAATTGTCATGGGCAGACCTTGAAACGGTTCAATTCCGATGATCGATTCAAAGTATGCACCATTTCGACCTGAATTTTCATCATCTTCCCCATCATGGCGGAACGAGAATCATGGACGAACGACGCAAGGCTTATTACTTGCTCCACATTTGCCAGGTACCCTCAACGAAATTCGTAAAACTTCAAATTTGACCCAAAATAAATGAAACCGGGTCCATCGGCGTTTCAACCAGTAAAACTTTCTTCAATATTTTCAACCAGTCTGCAGTGGCTGCACTGGTCCATTTTTGAGCAGGGGAATTCGCTTGGGACGACCAAATATGGAAAGATGGTGAAACGACACAACTTTTCGTTTCCTCAATGTTAAATTGACTTTTAAAGACCTTCGCCTATGCCTTGGGGTGTGCTGCAAAGATGATAAGACCATTTAAAACATTTGTAGGGAAGCATAAGAGGTGCTAAAAACACTCAAATGAAACTTTCATATGCTATTGGTCAGTGGTTTCTATTACAGACAGCATAATCGGTCTGTAGCTTTCTTATCATCTCGGACTGTGGCCGCCCTTATAGCGAAATTAAGGAAGTGTATCTAAGATGTTTGTTGCAATTCTGGACCAACGGTAAACGCTGAATTGTTTTCAATGCCTGCTATTGTTCGTCAGCTATGGTGGAAGCAGTTTCATGCACATCTTTCTATGAATATATAGCTCCTACTATAATCGCGTAAAATTAATGGTCTGCGTTGAATAAGCTGCCTGCATGTTTTGCATCGACATATATGATAGAAAGATGACTCGTTTTTCTAGCAGTTCGTTTGCCATGAAAAGCGAGTAATGGAACGCCAAGCAACACGTTTTGCCTCAATGATGTAAACTCATTGGATTGAGATTTCGACTTGTCCTTCGACGACTCCTATTGGTGCTTCGAGAACACTGGTCAGCGCTCCTGCATTAGTCTCTTTTTACCATATTTCAGATCGCTACAGCCTGTGCTTTGAAGTTCGTGATTGCTGACATCTGTCGGTTGCCTTTGAAGCGAGCAGATTGGCCAATCCACCTTCTGTTGGCTTGTCGCAGATGTCGGTTTCCATTGTACATTTATGACTACAGGTCCCATGTTACGTCTTTCCTTTCAAGAAACTTATGGTATGGTGCTGATCTCCGTTTCTGTGCCATAAGCAAGGACTGTATGTGAATTTTTAAGGCGTGGTTGACTGCCATATGCAACACGTAGCATGCAGTTTCCTCTCTCCTCTCCGTATAATGATGCTTTTTTTTCTACCTCGAATGACCTGACCGAGCACCACAACGGAAACCTCTCAGTTACGAGTCAAACGTCCTAGTGACTGAGCAACAGTAATAATCTTTCTGGCATCGTAAAAGGCAGAAATCAGCATATCAATCCTGTGCAATGCCACACTTATGCTGTCCCTCAGAGGGAGACGGTACACATTCATCGTTCAATCGTTTCTTGTCTAACCATCGGCTTTTTAACGATTTCAGAAACAGACCAACATTTACAGACGTAGATCATGAGTGGTGGAATGATTGAATCGAACAATCGTTTCCTCGCCATCATGGCAAGCAGTGATGCTTTAATGCTGATGCCTAAAGCTTACCCATGCCATCTCCTATCTGTTAATTTCGCCGTATGACGAGTTCATGAGGTATAGCTGACCGAAAGCGTCTTCGCCGTTCCTGCACACAAAGGCCTCGAGGCAGTACCAGTTCAGCATTCATTTCATGTTGAAGAGTTAAGCCTCCAAAGCGATGATCAGTGATTCTGCTAGCTGAGGTTTGATCTTCTTTTGCAGCGCTGTCGTGTCGTCTGCAAAGACGCTGCAGTCGCCCTCGAACAACAAGTGTGTGAGCTGTTGTCCATTAATGTTGAGGCCTTAGCACATGCTTCAGCAGTTGAAGCGTGACTCCCAGGCCTCGGCGAAGAGCACAGGTGAGATGGTGTTTCTTTTGGGCACTCGATGGGATGTGGTTGTTTGAGGAAGTAATGTTAAAGCATGAACGTTATAAAAGAGGTAACCCGGAGGTGGAATTTCAGCATCTTCTTTCGCATAGACACTGATGTGTCATCCTAGCTTTATTCAAATATATGATTATGCCCTTCGGCCAATTTCCCAAGGTATACGATAATTCCAAATAACTTATGTATTATTCAGCAAAACATAGTTGCACTGATGTAACGTGCAATCATGTGTCAACGGGTTAGAGTGCAGAAAAGTCTCCGTCTTTATCAGTTATTTCTCTTAGTCCATCACGATTCATGTCAACGGAGAGCTTTATATGATCCAATGATTAAAACATAATTTAAAAGTGATCTTGCTCACAAATGGACTGTCCTCTTATCATTAGGCACTCACTTTTGCCTTCTTGGTCGTGCCCTGCAGATATTGAACACTTAAATACATGCCTTAAATAATTGCTTGTTTGTCATGTAAATTTCGAGTTGAAACATGTTTCAGTTAAACAATGAAGCCAACCGGTTTATTCAACTCTGTCCGACCTGTGCAACTAAATTATGAAAATGTTTTATGTATTAATATGCC